GATGCCGATAGTGATGAATCCTTGGCAGAGGATTTCAATGAATGTTTCACTGAGAAGGTAACTACTATTAGAAAAGCCTTCGTTCAAGTGATCAGAATATATCGGGAGAGCAGATATCTACTGGATGCAGGATGTGCAAATTTCAACCCTTAAGTGAAAACCAGGTTCTGAGTCTAATAACAGACTCCAAGAAAACTACTTGCGAGTTGGACCCAGTCCCGACAAATGTGCTCCTGGGGCTCACTAGTCTTGCTAGTGGTGAGGTGCCAAATGCTTTTAAACAGGCAGCAGTGAAACCTCTGATTAAAAATCTAACCTGGACAAAAAATACTTTGAAACATTATCGATCAGTTTCCAATTTGTCCTTCCTGTCGAAAATCCTCGAAAAAGCTGTGAATGCACAGCTTTTGGATTTCCTGGAGCAGAACAATCTTATGGCAAAGTTTCAGTCAGCCTATCGAAAAGCCCACAGCACGGAAACTGCCCTCCGCAGAGTACTGGATGATCTTCAGCAAGCAGTGGATAACGGCAAAGTTGCAGTATTAGTTCTGCTAGATCTCTCAGCAGCGTTTGATACTGTTGATCACCAGCAACTGCTACAGCGGCTATCAGATGAGTATGGAAATGGAGAGACCGTTTTGTCCTGGTTTCGGTCCTATGTGACTGACCGAAAACAGTCAGTTGTCATCAAGACGTCTCATTCCTCCACTGTCACAGTTGACTTCGGATTGCTGCAGGGCTCTGTGCTGGGACCGTTACTTTTCACCCTGTATACCAGGCAGCTGGAGCAGGTTATCAGCAATCACCAGGTACTGCATCATCTATATGCCGACGACACCCAGATGGTTGACAGCTTTCTCCCAGCCAGTGACACATCACCATTGACCAATCTTGAGGACTGCTGCTCTTCAGTAAAGTCATGGATGAATGTCAATATGCTTAAAGTAAATGAGGACAAGACAGAGGCTATGCTTGTAGGCCCTAAAGCCCGTGTGTCAAAGGTGAACATCAGCCATCTCACTATTGGGGAATCAGAGATTTACTTCTCAACTTCTGTAAAAGATCTAGGAGTATATTTAAAGTCAGACCTTTCAATGGAAAGACATGTATCGGAGATCTGCAAGTCATGTTATCATCATATCCGGACCATCGGAAAAATACGACATCAACTGACTGAATGTTCTACAGCTGCCCTTGTTCGTTCCCTCATTCTTTCCAGAATAGACTATTGTAATAGCTTGTTTTTAAACATCTCACAAGAGCTCTTAAACCGTCTGCAACGCATAGAAAATATTGCGGCACGTATTGTGAGCAAAGCACCAAAATTCTCAAGCATGACCCCTATTCTAAAACAGTTACACTGGTTGCCCATAAGAGCTAGAGTGAACTTTAAAGTTTTAACCCTTGTCTACAAGTGCATACTAGGCACTGCTCCAGCCTATCTCAAAGAACTGTTCAAACCATATCTTCCATGCAGACAGCTTCGCTCCAGTGACAAAAACTTACTTCACATTCCAAAATGGAAGTTGAAATCCTATGGTTTTCGTTCCTTTCAAGTGGCGGCCGCGATGAACTGGAATGAGCTACCAGCTCACCTTAGAACAAGCCCAACAGTCACATGTTTCAAATCAAACCTAAAGACATACCTTTTCTCTATGTTTTAAAAGTGACTCCTAAATTCTATCTTGTCTGCGCTATGAGCATGCTGTCGGTGTGGATTTAGCGCAATATAAATGGACTAATTATTTATTGATATGGTATACGGCGAGCTGGGTCGATATCCGCTAAATATATCTGTAAAAATCCGAATGCTTTCTCATTGGAGTAAAATGTTAATCTTCTCAGACGAGCTGTCATACAAAATATATTATCTCATGTATACCATGAAGTCAACCTGGCCTAATTATAACTTTAGCCTGCTTACGGCAATAGAAAATATCCTACGGGATACTGGCTTATATCATGTGTGGATGTCACAGTATATTGTTTCTCCTAATGCTTTACAAACTAACGTTAAAAGGATTCTTATTGACCAGTTTTATCAGTCACGGGATGCAGCAGTAAATGCTTCCTCAAAAGGTAAATATTACAATCTTTATATAGAATTACCTCATCTAAATTCTTATCTTATGGAACTACCTCCAAATCTTAGCATATGGTACACACGCTTTAGAACAGCTGACCACAGACTTCCCATAGAAACTGGAAGATGGACTAACGTTGTAAGATCCGACAGACGATGTTCATTATGTAAAGAAGCAGTGGGCGACGAATACCACTTCCTCTTAACATGCCCATGTCTAGCAACCCTAAGACATAAAAATCTGCCCAAGTATTTTTGTAATAGTCCATCAATAGATAAATTCACCTCAATTATGAAATCCACTTATAAACCACCCGCCGTGAAATTAGCCAAATACATCAAGGAGGGCTTATGTTTGTACAAAGGAGATTTATTATGTGCATAATTGTAATTGATTTTTTGTTATTGTTGCCATGTATAAATTCACACTGTTCATATTGTAAATTACCTGTATGTTCTCTATGTCACACAAAGTGATTTATGAGAATAAACTTCTTCTTCTTCTTCTTCTTCTTCTTCTTCTTCGAAAAATGGCCCATGTTTTTACACGCCCCAAAAAGTCGCCTTCCTGCGAAGACACCAGTCAACTTTGTGTGCAGACTCTTTCAGTGTTGTCACAAGCCCTAGTGTACAATGCAACCCTGTGCACTTAAAAGAAACGACGTATTCGTTGGTAAAATGAACACATGGTGGCCACATGAATACGTGCAAACACCTAGCTGCGGCTACAGCAACGTGCAGTAAACTTGGACAAAATACTGTGGTATGTGTCCCGGGAAAAAAATAAAGCGCTTTGAGCATGCACATGGGATGGACTATAGCGCCATATAAATACCATATAATAATGATAATAAAGAGTACCAGAGTTAGGCAATTAGTCAATATTTCCCTTCCGTCGATTGCGTTCGCAAAACATCGGTAATTACGTACATAAAACGTGACTCAGTTATTCGAGATAAAGAATAAGTAACACAATTTTTCCAGACAATCCAGTGATTGAAAGCATGAACATAAAACTACAAATGGGATACGATGACATACATCAACCAAGTCAGCGAGCCTGGCTACCCGTCAATCGCCTCTTACGACGAGTATAGGTTGCTGAAGACCAGTTTTAACTCGGATCGTCACGGGTACCCTGGTCGTAAGTTGAAATCCCGTGGTCTGGCTGTTTGCTCTCGATTTCTCAAAGTTTGGTTTCTAATATCGATCTTACAAATGGTTGTTTGTGTGGGCGCCCTGTGCGGGGCTGACCATAATATGAGCGGAAACCTGTTCCAAAGGGTGCAACGAAGAGTCAAAGACTCCACTAAATTACATTGATTACCTCTCACTGAGGTCTACCAATTTGAAGACAACGCATTCACAATGAGATCACTAATTCTGATACATTTCGCCTATACGACACATGAAACCACAATTAGATTCTGTACTCGATTTTTGTCACATGTTTTTCAGAGTACCTGTCTGTTGTTGTTTTGGGGGTTTTGTTTTGGAGGGGTCGTGTTTTATATCTGTTGGAAACGTTAAAAGCTAAAACACGACGTGCAGTCAAAACGACACGCACAATCAGAGTATATAATATGATGCGACATGTGAGAAAATCACCTCTGACACATTACCAAGGCGAGCGTACCCTGGCTCGATACATACGGTAGTCGCTGATGCCCTCATTGCTAGAACTTCCGGTTGCTACTTTGTTGCTATAGCTAGCAGGGTGCAATATTAACTATAGGTCAGGCAGATATGAGACAGGCAAAGAACAGAATAAACTACGATTAGTCATGACCGGTCCTTGCACCCGTTCAACCTCCGGAAACGATTCTTCACAGTGACGTCACCTGCAACAAATACTCGAATTTGATTGGACAATCAAAACATTAGACACTATCAATTTGAATTGATCAATGCGTCTGATTTTATGACTGCGTCACTGTCTGCGCACGTATACAACGCTGCCTCACTACTTCCGCTTCACCACCAACATCGCTGATGTATCAATACAGCAGACGTGATGAAAATATTATGATAAAATATTTACTAAACCTTTGTCTCGAAAATACAATTATATGATTCTTTCGTCCACAGAACCACCCTATCGTATTTGCTTCTATATATTTTAGCATTATTCAAACTCAGTTTCAACGTATAGGCCTAACCATAAACAAACAATATTTAACTTAACGGAAAAGTTACGTATACACAATTAACAGCGAAATGTTAATAAAACATTTGCTTCCCCTGATCAACTCTATGTTTGTTTCCTTTAGAATGGCTTACACACAACATGGGATAAACAGTAAGTTAAGCACTTCCTGAAGAAGAACCTAGTGTCACACCTTCGATACTTTTATGTAGAACTTCGCAAGAGTCAGGCGAAACCCTTGTATAATGTTCGAAGTGAATAAGCTCATGTCATCCCAGTAATAAGTGTCACAGCGTATCTATTAACGGTATATAGTATGTTAAGTTCCCATTTGTTTGTTGTTTAATGCCACACTCAGCAATATTTCAGCTATATGGCGTCGGTCTGTTAATAATCGAGTCTCGGCCAGACAATCCAGTTATCGATGTGATGAGCATTGATCTACGCAAATGGGTAACGATGTTATGTGTCAAACCAAGTCAGCGAGCCAGACCGGATCCCGTTAGTCAGCTCTTACGACTTGTTGTCGAAGATGTAACCCTGGTCCTCACGGTGAGGATGTTAAGTTATCAGAATTTTAAGAATTATAAGTTATCAGAAGAGTTTGTCAATCAAATTTTAAAAGTATACATCATGTTTGACTCTAATATGACCATGTCAACAGTTTCCCTATCCAGCTCGATCAAGCAAACACGTGACGTTCTGTTTCCTTATTTTCGATTCATATGCGTCAGCTACATAAAGGACATGAAAGGATATATTTGTCAATTGTATGTGATTTCGCTTTACATTGTAATTCGCCATGGCTTTTATGAGAAGACTTAATTGTTCGTTGCTGTATCTGCTTACTTCAACGGCATATCTGGGTAAGTTCCATTTTGAATATGTATATGGGTGCACTGAAATCTTTAGAACCGCGTAGACATTAACACTCATGGTATTGATCTTAACTGATATTGCTGAAGTTGTTACATGTATTTGTCCTAAACATTTGTTTCTCAGTCTCATTGCATCTTATCAGCCTAGCAGATTTTGTCCCTTGTATACTTCGTTATAGATACCCATAGTGACCAAAGTTAATGAGTCATGCTTTTCTCTAGCTACCACCAACAAGGGCCATTGCGGAGGAGGGACATGGGGCGAGATGTGTAAGGAACAATGCCCACCTGGATGCGCTACATTTAGAGACGTTGTTCATTGTGATAAGCTGAATGGAGAATGCTTTGAGGGTTGCATCAGTGGATTGTACGGAGACACATGTGCAGCGAGTTGTAGCACAGGGTGTTTGGATGGGAATTGTGATCAGTTTGACGGAAAATGTGTTCAGTGCAAAGAGGGATGTTTTGGACCCGACTGTGGAAATTGTTCATCACAAAAAACTCCGTCAACAGCAGTTCAAATAGCTCCAACAGGTAGGAAACTTACATATTATCGGCATCCATATTGATTACACAAAGCGATGATTCATTACATCATAAATATTTTGGAACATGCTAATTAAACACATGTTTTACTTGGGATTTCACTTTCTCAGTAAAGTACAGATTCTAGTACTTTTGATGGGATTCGGGATTCAACCAACGCATTCAGTATCAGATAACTGACACAGCTTCGTCCATTTGAATAAACATATGGCACATATTTGGATTGAATCTATGAAAATATAGACCTGAAACCAATACAACTCAAGTTCCACGTCATCTATTATGTTCCACGTTTCAGCTCCCTTACCTCCAAGACATGCCTGTTCAAATGGAACATTTGGTGACAAGTGTGACAAACCATGCCCAACTCACTGTATACAATACACTGGCCGAAGTTGTAATGAAACAACAGGTGTCTGTTTGAACGATTGTCTCCGAGGTTTCTATGGCGAGCGTTGTGGCAAACTATGCAGTAGAAGTTGTGAGGACTCGGTTTGTCAAAGCGCGAGCAGGAGTGTGTCAGCTGCGAAAAAGGACAGCGTCTATGCGGCGATGTTCCTACATCGAATGGTATAATATTATTATGATTTAGTCTTAGAGAAGTCAGTATTAGCATACAAAATCAAGTGTCTCACAGCATGTGACCACCACGTTATTCAATGGCCATCTCCAAAGTCCACATTACTGAGAGCCGAATTACAGAAATACCCGTTTATCTATCACTATGTTAAATATCAGTTCGATAACAAATGAAAACATATTCAGTCGACTGTAGTATTATGTTTCCTTTTCCTTGTAATGGTATATTTTAGTACTGTATGTCGGTTGCAAATTGTCCCTGGATATTGCTGGAAACTGTTCATACAGCTTCTGACAACACTTGATTCATTTGTCTTTTCAGACGCTGTGCCAATATCACTGGATAGAACTGTGGGTTATGCATTTTCAGGATTACTATTTGTTTTGGTTACAATAATACTGATCTTTCAATGTCGACATCATCACCAATGCAGAAACAGGTGCGTCATTATTTAGGGTGCGTTTTACCTACAATGTCAATACAAAATCAGGGTTACCCGCGTGCATGATATCCCAGTGCAGGATTGGAGTGTTTGACAACCTGTTTAGAATTGAGATGACAAAACTTTATGGATGAATAACTTCGTTATTTTCGCAATAGCGACGTATCGGTATAGATTCTTATACCGTTTTCAAGCATATGACGGTATAAGAATCTATACCGAAACGTCGCTATTGTAAAAATTAAGAAGTTGATCATCCATAAAGTTTTGTCATCTCTATATCACCAACTTCATGAATGCCACTCAAACATATCTGTTCAGAATTATTACGTCACACACTTAAGACAACACTCATGAATCCAACACTAATACATAACTGTTCCCATCTGTTACTTGTTCATTCCGCTGATTCTGCATTGTTGTTATCCTTTGACAGGCACACAAGTCCCGGTGAGCCTGTCAATCCCAGAACAACACCATCGTACCCATCAGGTGTACGTGACTCTGACGTGACTGAAAACCATAGATACTGGGAGATAGACGAATCCGAGTTAGAACAATCTGAACACAGAGTGTCGGGTGCTGAGACACATAGGAGCGGGCATGAATCTGCTGTTACACCTGGCTATGCGAGACCACGCGAGCAATCAATTATGCAGAACCACTTGATGGATGGTAATTGCGCCGATACGCTTGACAAGAGTGTTCCTCTTCAAAGTACTCATGAATACGAAACTGTTGCGTCATTCGACAATATCGTAAGCGATTCCAGTGGCATGTTATATCTGAGAGATGATGCTGGCGACATCAGTGTTAGATATATTTCAGCAGAGACGACAATGTAAAATTTCAGCTTGAAGTTAGGATGACATTATGCTTAGTCTTCGGCAATAATTTGACATTATATTTAGCTTTATTGTTTTGCTTTTTTAGAAATTGCAATTACGTTTGTACTGCAACAAGCTTGAATTACTCTTTAAGACTTCTAGGCCATCATTATTCATACTGCTGTAACCCTGTTGTAACCCTATTGTATTTAAGTTACTAATAAAATGTTGAAGATTTAAGTATTTTGTATGTGTTGTCTGGTAGTTGTCATATTATACTACTGCTGCCATTGATATCAAAACTCGAAGCTTAATCAAGTCTCCTTCTCAACTGTTGGTGTACTTAAAAGGAACATGGAGAAATTGGTGGTGGTGGAATCCCTGTCAAGAATTGTCGAAACGGAATACTTAGTCAAACCACATTTAAGATCCAACGAAAAGTAGAGTTGTTGCTGTCTCTTGAGCTAAGAAATCATCAGTGTTACGTGGACGTTGTGCCCTCGAAATGTCGTCCATGAAGACGTCTAGGATGTCAGTGAAGTACTGTTGTCCATTATGTAGTTGATCGTCACACGGTCAGTTTACAGTCATGTACATCCCGATTGGAAGGCATGAATGAACCTCCGTCAACTCCGTTGTGTGCATCCAGTATTTCTGCAGATGTACGAGTGCCACGTGCCACGAAGGTGTAGATGCATAAATATACTTGCATCTTAGTTGTAGACGTGAAGTCATTTTTCCGTGAAGGTTAAGTTTTACACCACTTTGTTTGCTGTTTCACAAACTCTGGAACGTTGAGACGTCGTCAATAATGAAAAGCCTTCATTCATCTTGAGCCGTAAAAAATGTTACCAGTTGACAACCTATGGATTTAAGTATTTAGAATGAGGGTATACAGCATGCTGATATGTAAGCACGTATTATTCATAATAATCATCAGTTGTAGATGTTGCGTTAAGGTTTTGCAAATGAAGTAACATCATGTTAAAAATATAACGGGACATAGTTCATTTCGATTATTCCAAGGAGTTGGTGAGCGAGTTTAGTTTTACGCCACGCTCAGCAATATTCCACCTTTATGGCGGCAGTCTGTAAGTACTGGGGTCTGGACAAGACAATCTCGTGATCAACAGCATGGGCATCGATAAACGCGATTGGGATACGGTGACATGTGTCAACCAAGTCAGCAAGTCTGACCACCCGATCCCGTAAGTCGCCTCTTACAACAAGCATGGGGTACTGAAGATCAATTAGAACCCAGATATTCACGGGTCCATTCTAAGGAGTTATATGAATACATGACTTTTTTGTATAACTATACTTTTTTTATTCTTTATCAGGACGTTTCAGAGCTAATACTACTTCATCAGGTGAATGCTGTGTAAGTTTAGTTTATAGTCTGTTTGACTTCATTTGAGACCGATGAATTGCTCACTAACACAAAATCTAATAAATACAACAAAACCAAGTTTGGCACATTCGCATGAAATATCGACAGACCAACTCTAATGATTTGTCTCATAATTTTGGACACCCGAATAAAAAAGTTGTTTAACATTTTGTTGTCACCTTCGCTATTTCTTACGAGGGAGGACCACTTTCTGATTACCTGGCTGTTCTACCAGCAAGTGGTCCTCCCTCGTAAGAAATCTTAATGATTTAACAAAATCCTAACATCACCCACGTAAACACCCTCCCAATATAACGGATACCTGATGACTCGTACATACCTGGGCCTAAATGTTCGAAGCTCTCTTAGCGCTAAGACAGTCGGAAGTTTATGTTAATGTATAGCACTTACGATTATCTTAGCGCTAAGAGCTTCAAAACAAACCCCACAATAATACTGGCAGCCAACAAAGTGCCAAAATTGTCTCCACGACCCTCCTGGATAAAATATTTTCTCGAATCAACAGTGGCATTTCCTATAAAACTTCTATCTACTCAAAATAAATAAATAAATAAAGACACACAGATAATTGCAATCATTGCCACATCACTGAGGACATAAGTCGCATTTATAAAACATGCACCATCCACAAACAACAGCTCAATTCACGGCCCCATACTCATACTCTTAAACATGCCAACCTCGAACAACTATTCCCCTCCAGCCCACAACATATACACAGCTATCAGCGCTTTCATTCAATAAAAATAAAAACTCCGCAAAGAAATTATAACAAAACGTAAAACACACATCTCCCCACCCACAAATTCGCTGGAAGCGCCCTTAAAAGCCCCACACCCCGAAGACCTGACAACATATCAACAACATGAGGTAAACCCCTCACCTCGTTTACTCATACTGGACATAACCCTACATCGGAACCATATCTTAAAATGTGCTATTAAATCAACACACATGAGCACCATGACACCACCGCACCGATTCCTTCCCAGCACAACGTTTAGTTGAATGGTAAAGTCTTTCACCCTTTTTCTTTGTCTGCAGGTACACTATTATTAAATATCAGCTTTATAATACATCTCCCAACAACTAGCATAGGTATTTATGTGAATTTATTTCTTCAATTAAGGTCAGACAAAATATTTATTCATATCCCTGTATTACCGCCCTATATCTATCCCCTAAATTTAGTTTTCTGGGTGACAGGTTTTACTTATCATATCAAAGACTTTGGCATACTGTCATTTTTTAATACACATTACCCCATCGATGAAACTGGCACTGCCTAATTGGGTGAAGGACTTAAGCTATCTCTAATTAGGTGATACTATGTCCTAATTAGGACATTAATATCTCCTTATTAGGACTTAAGGATCTTATAAATACGTTTGACAAAAAAAGTCAATCAGTAGTCATTCACTTCTGTTTAGGTTTAGCATCTTCGATGAAGTCATGGATGAAAGCATACGAATTTGGTGGTGGTGGTGGTGGTGGTTGTGACGGTGGTGGTGGTGGTAGTGTGTGTAGTGGTAATGGTGGTGGTGATGGTGCGTGGTGGCGATGGTGGTGGTGGTAGTGTGTGTGGTGGTGAGTGATAGTGGTTGTGGTGATGGTGGTGGTGTGTGGTGGTAATGATGGTGGTGGTGAGTGATGGTGTGTGGTGGCGATGGTGGTGGTGGTGTGATGGTGGTGGTGTGTGTGGTGGTGATGGTGGTGGTAGTATGTTGTGGTGATGGTGGTGATGGTGTTTGTGGTGATGGTGGTGATGGTGATGGTGGTGGTGATGGTGGTGGTGGTGGGTGTTGGTTGGTGGTGGTATGTGGTGGTGATGGTGGTGGTGGTGATGGTGGTGGTGTGGTGGTGGTGGTGGTGGTGGTGTGTGGTGGTGGGTGGTGTGTGGTGGTGTTTGTGGTGGTGATGGTGGTGGTGGTGGTGGTGGTGGGTGTTGGTTGGTGGTGGTATGTGGTGGTGGTGGTGGTGTGGTGGTGATGATGGTGGTGGTGGTGGTGGGTTGTAGTGTGTGTGGTGGTGGGTGGTGGTGGTGGTGTGTGGTGTGTGGTGACTGAGGGGTGGTTGTGTGTGGTGTGGTGGTGGTGGTGGTGGTGGTGGTAGTGGTGGTGGTGGTGGTGGTAGTGGTGGTGGTGTGTGGTGGTGTGTGGTGGTGGTAGTGATGGTGGTTGTGTAAGGTGGTGTTGGTAGCGGTGGTGTGTGGTATTGGTGGTGTTTGAGTGGTGATGGTGGTGGTGGTGTTGTGTTGTGTTAGTATGTGATGGTAGTGGTGGTTGTTAGTCGTGTTGATGGTGGTGATGTGTGGTGATGTGGTGGTGGTGTGTGGTGGTGGTGAGTGGTGGTGGTGAGTGTGGTTGTAATGGTGGTGAGTGGTGGTGTAGTGGTGGTGATGGTAGTGGTGGTGGTGTGTTGTGTTAGTGTGTGATGGAAGTGGTAGTTGTTAGTGGTGTGTGATGGTGGAGTGGTGTGTGGTGGTCGTGGTGGTGTGGTGGTGTGTGGTGTCCTGGTGTGTGGTGAGTGAGTGGTGGTGATGGTGTTCTGTTGTAGTGGTGGTGTTGTGGTGGTGGTGTGTGGTGGTGGTGGTGGTTGTAGTGATGGTGTGTGGTGGTGATGTGTGGTGGTGGTGGTAGTGTAGGTGTATGGTGGTGGTGGTGTATGGTGGTGGTGTGTGAGTGGTTTCTGGTGGTGAGTGATGATGGTGGGGCTGGTGGGTGCTGTGGTGTGGTGGTGATGGTAGTGGTGTGTGTGTGTGGTGATGGTGGTGGTGGCGGTGGTGTGTGGTGGTGGTGGTGGTTATGTGTGGTGGTAGTGTGTCACAGTGGTGGTGTTGGTAGTTGGTGGTGTAGTGGTATTGGTGGTGTTTGAGTATGGTGATGGTGGTGTGTGTTGTGTTGTGTTAGTATGTGATGGTAGTGGTGGTTGTTAGTCGTGTGTTGATGGTGGTGATGTGTGGTGATGTGTGGTGATGTGTGGTGGTGTGTGGTGGTGATGGTGGTGGTGGTGAGTGGTTGTAATGGTGGTGGTGGTGGTGGTGGTGTGAGGTGGTGTAGTGGTAGTGGTGGTGTGTTGTGTTAGTGTGTGATGGAAGTGAGTGGTTGTAGTTAGTGGTGTGTGATGGTGGGAGGTGGTTGTGTGGTGATGTGTGGAGGTGGTGATGGTTGTGTGAGTGGTGGTGGTGTGTGGTGGCAGTGGTGGTGGTGTGTGGTAGTTGTGGTGGTGTCCAGTGATAGTCGTCGTGTGGTATGGTGATGGTGGTGGTTGTGGTTGTGTATAGGTGTGGTGTTGGTGGTAGGTGTTGGTGTGCAGTGGTGGGTGTTGGTGGTGTGGTGATGGTGTGTGGTGGTGGTGGTGGCGTGAGTGGTGTGTAGTGTCTGGTAGTAGTAGTGGTGAGTGGTGGTGTTCTGTTATAGTGGTGGTGTGTTGTGGTGGTGGTGTGTAGTGGTGGTGGTGGTGTAGTGATGGTGTGTGGTGGTGATGTGTGTGGTGGTGGTAGTAGTGTAGGTGTGTATGAGTGGTAGTGGTGGTGGTGGTGGTTTCTGGTGGTGGGTGGTGTGTGCTGTGCTGTGGTGGTGAGTAGTGATGTGTTTGTGGTTGTGGTGGTGTAGGTGTGTCGTGGTAGTGTGTCGTGGTGTTAGTGATAGTGGTGGTGTGTGGTGGTGTGTGTGATAGTGGTGTGTAGTGGTCTCTGGTGAAGGTGGTGTTGGTGGTGTGGTTGTTGTGGTGTGCTGTGGTAGTGTGTGAGTGGTGTGTGGTGGTGGTAGGTTTGTGGTAGTG